ATTATCCCTTGTCCTCTGCTATGTTTGAATCTTCAGTTGGGATTTGAATATTGTAACACATATTGGCGTGGGTCCTTGTTCCCCATCTGGGGGAACATTCTCTCACCCCCCCCCTCGCCCCCCTATTTGGGTAACAAAGTAGCCAGCAGCTGTCAGGGTGTCCTGGCCATATCTCTAGTGTCCCCTGTCTACTTACAAACCAGGCTTTGTTAGGTGACATACAGAAGCCAGGTTTTCAGCTTGGGCTGGGATCGTAATAAGCAGCCCTTAACAAGAGGAAGCCAAAACAGCTTCCCAAGCTGTAATTATCCCATATTCCCACAAATCAGACCCAGCAGATGACTAGAACCTCCCTGTAATGTGTATTACCTACCTCTGTGACACGGAGGAGGCCCTGAGGGTGATGAGCAAGGCGTCTGCTAGGGATTCATATAATGCTTATGGTGTTATTTCTGATTCTCCTGATATAACAGAGATTGCTGCTGTGACTTATTATTAAGTTTCTAAAACTGGTCTCGTGTCCTAATAGACACAATACATGAAGAATAGAAATGATGATAGTGTCAGGTATAGCGTCCGTACTTTTCAATCATCTCTGATCATCTCCTTCATTATATCCTCTTCTCTTTCATATACAGTATCTTCATCCCTTTCCATCCATCCTTATTTTCCTCCGTCTTTCTTTACCTGCCCTATTCTTTCATTTCTGTATATATCTACGTTTGTCTGCCGCTTTCAATACTTCTATCCTCTCTTTGATTCCCTCTCCCCCCTTCTATCTTTCATATACCTTCTTTTCTTCCACTGTCCTCTTCTCTTTCCATCTCTTTATCCTTCCTTACACCATCCCTTTTTACATTTCTGCTTTCCTTCTATCTTTCCTCCCATCCTTCTCATTCATTTTTCATACACCTTTCCTTCCATCCTCCATCCTTTCTCCCTTCCCTTCCTTTATCTTTCCATTCCTTTTACCCTTCATTCATTGCATCCTTCCTTTCTTACTCTTCCTTCCTTTGTTCGTTCCTCTCACAATTCGTTCATCACTTCCCTTTATCTTTCATTCCTTGCATCCTTCCTTCATACATTTCTTCCTTCCTTCTATCTTTCCTCCCATCCTTATCATTCCCTTTTTATATACCTGTCCTTCCATCCTCCATCCTTTCTCCCTTCCCTTCTTTTATATTTCCATTCCTTTAATCATTCACTCCTTGTATTCTTCATTCCTTAAACTCTTTCTTAATTTGTTCTTTCCTCTCACCATTCTTTTCTCCATTCCCCTTTTTATATTTCCATTCTAATTATCCTTCCTTTCATTCTTCCTTCCTTAATCTCTTCCTTGTTTTTTTGCTCTAACCATCTCCCTTCTCTTTTTATTATGTTTCCATTAATTTTATCCCTCATTCCTTCCTTACACTCTTCCTTCCTTTGTTATTTCCTCTCACCATTCTTTTCTTCCTTCCCTTCATCTATCGATCTATCCTTTCTTCTATCTTTGCATTCCTATTCTTCCATCCTTCATCTTCTATATTCCTATTATTTTTTTCCCTCCTTTTATCTTTTTCCTTACATTTCCTCTACTGTACTCATCACTTTATCTTTCTTTTAATTCTTCATTCTTTATTTCCTTTCATTCTATCCTTTCTTCTTTCCTTTATCCCCGTGTGTTTTTCCTCCATTCGTTCCATCTACCCTCTTACATCCTCTCTTCTTTCTTACTTTTTTCTTCGTAACT